ATCTAAGCAATTGTTCATCTGTGGTGCTGCTGAGGTGCAGGACATTCTTAAGAAAACAGAAGTATCAGGCAAACCTAAAGATATTATCCCCTGTATTGGAACTGCCACATTCAATAGGCTTTGGGGAACCTACTTATGTTTTTAATCCTCTTCTGAACCCCCATAATATTTGTATATACTTGTAGCACTCTCATACAACAACCTGCACAAAGTCATTTTTCACTATATCACAAAAATCTTCTAAAGTTCAATATTGTAATTTCAGGTTTTCACTATGTCTTCTCTTGTCAGAGTTTTTCCTGTGTAACCAAGAGGTTACATTGGATATATAGGTCCTGAAGGTCAGATAATGTTTTTTCTGCAGGTCACCTCATTTGTGTTTTGGTCCTGACATTTAAGAGGAAAATGTTCCCTTTGTCTGGAAGTTATTTTGGCAACCCCCAGCAATGAAAAATAATTTCCCTGCACGGAGTGGGTTAAACATTTTTGTGGGTTACACATTTGCTGTGGTGGATGGGTATTTTGATAGAACATGGCCTTTTCTCTATAGAACAGAAATCTCTACATAAAAAGTGCTTTTGTCGATGTATCATATATTTCCACAACAAAGGTGCTAATGTGGCTCTGTTTATTTAGTTGAAAATATAAAACAGTATTGAGCACACTCATTTTGAGTTCAATTTTATTGTTCATTTTTAGCATCACTGCAAAGTAAATACATTACAAGTCACTAACAATAAGATACTTTTTGGAAATGTTTGATTGTTTCCAGGATAATCCAGAGAAAACTGCAGCCTCTGTGCGTGGAGATTTTTACCTCACTGGGGACAGAGGCATTATGGATGAAGAGGGATATGTCTGGTTTGTTGGAAGAGCTGATGATATCATTAATTCTGCTGGGTAAGGCATTTCCTTTTAGTTTTGCCTCACAAAATGCAGCCTGGAAAGACCAATGGACTGGCCCATGCTGCTGGGGCTGAGCTGTTTCTGTGCTCCCCTAGGTATCGCATTGGCCCATTTGAAGTGGAGAGTGCATTGATAGAGCACCCAGCAGTCTCAGACGTGGCTGTTGTCAGCAGTCCTGACCCAGAGAGAGGGGAGGTAAAACAAAATAGAAAAGAAATGTAGAAAGAAATGTCCTTTCTTCTAAGTATCTACTTCATTTTATGTACTAGGCTTCCTTGGAATTCACTGTTGCAGGCTTTTGAAGTTAGGTGGGCTAACATTTTAAAATTCCGTATCTTTGACAGATCTTACCATTTCAGAATTATTTCTTTGCAGGCTTTTATGTGGGGAAAAAAATCATTTTTTCAGACTAATAATGTGATCTTTTTGTCTAAGTAATGAAATTTTGATTATTTTTTGTTCACCACCGAGCATATGGTGGCAATGACATTCAGAGTGTTTAATTTTTGTTTTATATTTTCTGACTTTGCAACACTTCTTTGAGCAAATGGGGTGAGATTTTAATTCCTCTTTACTTTCTGTACTAGAAGTTTTTTGAAAGCTTAATAATGTATAAAGATAAGAAAAAAATTGGAAAATAGCAAATTTTCCTGCTGCAGAAGGGGTCCTTCATAGCACAGCAATTGATAACAAGCAGTTAATGAAAGGGGAAATTAAAGAAAAATATCACATTTTGGCATTCTGAAATTTGACATTTGCTTTTGGCAACAGATGGATCCCCTTATTGCCACCTCTGGAAGTTAACAGAATCCCTTACTTTTTGTGGCACAGGTGGTCAAAGCCTTCATTGTTTTAGCTCCTGCTTTTAAATCACATGATCCAGAAAAATTAATTCATGAGCTTCAACAACACGTCAAGAAGGTGACTGCTCCTTACAAGTATCCAAGGAAGGTAAGTACAGCCCAAAAAAAAGACAAAAAATGGACAGGTTCTCTCATTGTACCAGAAACTGAGCATTTTTTTGTCCTGCCTCAGCTGTTTTTCAACAGCATTCTGACAAACACTCCAACAGGGTTGAAGGAAATGAAAGCAGATGACAGGGCTTGTTTCAGCTGTAGCCTTGGTTGGCAGTGTGTGCTATGAAGGACCAGAGGGAGACAATGGTCATGAAATTGTCTTCATGGGGGGGACTAGTCTTTCTTTCATGGAATCCTGGAGTTTTCACAGCAGTTCAAATGGGCAATTCCATTCTAATCAGCTCTACCTTGAGCTCTCCTCTGACACACTGCCAAATCAAAACAGAATTCCTGCTGCCATCAGTGGGTTGGAATCCATCTCTTCTCCCTAGGAAAGACACCAGTAACCCCCTGTCCTGAAAGCTGAAGCACTCCCAGAGATCATGGTACATCTGCTGCAAGTGCTGTCTGTGCAGTAGCCGCAAGGTGTAGTCAGGAATTTCACCATTCCAGCCCTGGCTGTGCAGCTTCCCATCTGTCTATCCCCAGCCACCCCGTGCTAAAAGTGTTGTCACATCTTTTGTTGTACATGGGAATTTAACCACAAGTTATTTGGCTACAGGGAGCATTTTTGCCTTTCAGGTGGAGTTTGTTCAGGATCTGCCCAAGACAACTACTGGGAAAATCCAGAGAAATGTTCTGAAGAACAAAGAGTGGGGAAGAGCATGACAACAGCAACAGATTTGGAAAATGAGGAGAAAAAGCAGAATGACGACACCTGGAAAAACAAACTGTGGAAGAAAAAGGAGAAAACATTCTTGAGGATATGTGGCATTGGAACCACATTTGCCATTGATCTACAGATTTTCAAAAGGAAGGAAGTTCAAATAATTCAAAGCATGGAATGGGAGAGAGATAGACAGACTCAGGTGCATACAGAGGTCTAATTTTTTTTACAGCAATTTGTATAAACAGCTTCCTTTAGAAAAATGGGTGAAACTACAAGGCTTTGAAAATTACAGATGAATGAGAAATTAATAAAAATATATGTTTGTCCTGAGGTGGGTATCAGCAATTAATTAGCATCCAAAACCCACCACTGTGACATTCTCAATTTTTTTCAGAGTGGAAAGAAAAAATAATTTCTTTTTAATGTTTCTCTTCATCATGGCGAATTTGTGATCTACTTAAATGGTTAAAGTTGAGGAAAAAGTGGTCCAGGTTAAGGTGCAAATTATGCATAATTAACAATGGTGTAAATGATTACAAGAAAAAAGTTACTCCACAGAAAGAGCTTTGCTGTTTGGTCTGTTTTGTGCCATGTTCTGTTCTCGTTACTCCAGAAGAAGTGAGTAAGAAAGTCAGACGCGTTTCACTCCAAAACCTTTATGAAGGAGTGCTCAGGCTTCACATCTCCAGGGAACAGCTGATCTTTACAGTGCCTCATATGGGAAACATGTCCTAACAGGTGAGTGAAATGAATGAAGAGGTTCTCTCCCAACAGCTTCTGATCTCTCCTGTCCACAGCAGACAGGTCAGGAAAATGTTATTTATCTGAACTCCTCGTGTTGATGATCACTGAGCAAAGCAAATGGTATTAAATCAGGAATAATAATTTCTGATTCTCACTACTCATTCTTAGAACTTTGCCTTTACTGTGTCTTTTCCTCAGTTTTCTGTCTTCATTTTCACCTCCATATTAGCAGGTGAGAAAGTGCTAAAAACTTGAAGGCTCTCGCAGTCTTATTGGTAGGTGTTTTTGTAGAGCACTTGGGAATCCTAAACTTGAAATGTTTCATCTTGTCAGTCTTGAGTATTATTTCCCTAAATATTCATAAATATTATGTTCCTCCTCTTTCTCTCATAAGCTACTGTGTAGATTTTGTCATTGTAATGCTCTGAAATATGCAAATTAAAGCTAAATCACAGAACTAGAGCAGACTGAGAAAGGAGAAATATCTTCCTGAGTGATTAAATATTGTTTACAACTAGTCAATGTTTCTCTGCCACAATGTCCAAGGAGTGTAGAAAGCACCATGAATTTCTGTTGCTTTTGACAAAATATCTGTTGTGGGGGAAAAGTCTGCATCCAGATTGTTTATGTTGGCAGATATCACTGAAAAGATTAAGTTAAACTCTGGGTAATTGAACTAATTTGCATGACAGGCAGATTAAATTTTACTATATATAGTTCTGCTAAGGAATAAGGCAGTAGTTCCAATGGTAAAGAAGTAACTTTTTCTTGAGGAATAAAATGTGATCAGTGCTGAGATCTGTGCATCAAAGATGTGAGAATAAACAGTTATGATTGAAGACATGGGAGAAGGGGTAAAAGACTGGAAAATGAGCTTTAAAAACCTGGGGCAAAGGGCAAAACTTTGCAACTTCACTCAGGCCACAAAAATTTCCCAGGAAAAGGGATTTGATTCAGAAGGGCGTGGGCGTGGCTCCGGGAAGGGGCGTGGCCCGAGGCTGAGGGGGCGGAGCGAGCCCTGCCCCGAGGGGCGGAGCGAGCCCTGCCCTGAGGGGTGGAGCGAGCCGTGCCCCGAGGGGTGGAGCGGAGGCGGGTCCGGGGGCGAGAAGTGGGAGCCTGAGGTGGGGCTGTGTGAGGGAACGTGAGAGAACGTGGCTGGGGTGTGCTGCAGGGCAGGAACAGAGGTGTTGGCTGGCTTTGTTTTGAGGGAATGGGGGTGATGGGTCATGAGACGTGCCAGGAGAGAGGAGTGGGACGGGAGCTGCCGCCGCCATCTTGGACTCTTGGTGTAGTAGGCAGAAGAGAATACAAAGCAGCAGAGTAACTCGAACAGTCTCGCTTTCTCTACTTTGTATACCATTCTAGAGGAACAGAGGAGTGAGAAGGACGAGAACACGAAAGGGCAGGAGTAGCTAATGCTACTAAAAGCCTGCCCAGGCTCCTGTGTCGGTGATGGGTTCCACTCTCAGGTTCTTATCCCAGGGTTAGAGGGATTAGAAGCAGACTCAGGTCTGGTTAGGGTTAGGGTTACAGTGGGGCAGGGGTGCCCCCAGGTTTCTTGGGAGAGTGGTTTTAGACTGGAGTCTGCACTGCTTTTCTTGGGCTTTTCAAGCTTGAGGGTCCCTCCTTGTTGTTAAGTCATGCAGTGTTACCTCAACGAGTTCCCAAAATCCTGAGGAAAAAGTACCACAGTCTGGACCAGGTCCTGGCGGTGGAGTGGCTCCTCTTGGGTTTAAAGCAGCCAGAGAATTTTACAGGACCCATTTCAGTAGAATTTTCAGCTCACATTTTTTAACCTCCTTCCAATAGTCCGCTAAAAGTTCCTTAAATCATCTGTATACATCCCATTATTCTAAATTGGACAACCTTAGTTCCATCCTACTAAACTGGGATTGTGTGGGATGTGTCCTCTCAGTTGGGGGTAGGTGTGATGGGAAGGTGTCCCCTTTCTCTGCTCACTTGCATTCCATGCAGGGCTGTCCGAGGCAACTGGTCCTCTCCAAAGGTCTCTTGCTTCTCCATCAGGCCTGGTGATGTATTCCAGAGCAGAGTCCTATTGGTTTGCTAGGACCCAGCAAAACTGAGTCCCTTAGAGGTCTCAATATGAGAGTCCCTGTTCAGGCGCCACATATTGCAGTGGGGTTCTGTGATCTCTCATCCACTTTGGCCAGGTTGTGCGTGGCAGAATAAATCAGGATGGGTACAATGGAATGCCCAAAGATAGATTTTAATGATCACAGGGGCTGCGTGGTCCGAGGGGCTGCATCCAAAGACCAGGGGGTGTGGCGAACTTCACAATATTTAGGGATACCTGGGGACGGGGGGCCAATTATGAACACGAACCAGGGACATGGCTTATTATGGAATGATCCCAGTAGCATCCTAATTTCCATCCTTTCAGTATCCCAGATCCCAGGTCTCAAGTTTATGCCTTATGTACAAGTCACCTGAGATAAGCCACTATCAGTCCCAGCTGGTTCAGTTCCCATAGGCCTGAGTAGCTTCAATGAATAACCCATCAGCTCATAAGTGGATTGTCTGGGTAATCTCAAGATTTGTTTGTTTTGTTGGTTCTTCTTGTTGTTGTTAGATTCATAGCAACAACGCTATCAATTTTATTAACCTCAAGATGACTGTGCTTATTCCTTCTGCATACTCTAATGTTAAATACTCACAAAAATACAGGTAACATGACATAAAATGAGGAGGTGTGTAAACAACTTTTTATTCAAACTGGTTTGCATTAATTCATCCAACATCATTCATGGGACAGCATCCAATAACTGGATTGGTTTAAATGTATTTTCTTTCTTTCCAGGTGACTGATTCTTTAGATGTGTACCTGATTCTCCCCCTCACTGTCTGATAAAACATCATTTATCATGAGAACATTTATTAAATCCTGGATTCCTCAGTGTTTGTGGATTCTCAGGTCACCTTGCAGATCATTCCATGGAAACAACAGACTTCTTACATCTCAGATTGTTTCCCATTATGTATCTATAATCCAGAATAAAAAGGAACTGCCAGAATATTTCAACTTTGCAAGTGATGTCTTAGATGAGTGGGCACAACTGGAAAAGGTAGTATTTGTCTTTTATTTTATAGACTCTGAGTTGTAGTTTAACCCCAGCTGTCAGCTGAGGACCACAGAGCCCCTGGATCACACACACAGACAATCCCAGTGGGATGGGGAGGAGGATCAGGAGAAAATAAAGGTAAAACCCATGGGTTGAGGAAAGAACAGTTTAAGAATTGAAATATAATAATAATCATAATCATATTAGTAGCAGTAGTAGTAGCTCACTGCCCACTGATTGATGCCCAGCCCATCCCCAAACACCTCCCATCAAACTTCCCCCAAGGTTATAAACTGAGCAGGACCTCCTGTGGTGTGGAATATCCCTTTGGACAGTTCAGGTCAGCTGTCCTGTCTAGGAAACCTTCCAGCTTCTCATGCACCTCTTTGTTGGCAGAGTGTGGGAAACTGGAAAATCCTTGACTTACAGTAAGCACTGCTTAGCAACAACTAAAACATCAGTGTGTTACCAACACTACACTCATCCTAAATTTATAAATCACAGCACTTTATCAGGACTTAGTAAGAAAATTTACTCTATTCCAGCCAAAACAAGGACACAGTGGAGCAAATCTCAGATGATACAAGTCAGTTTTCCTCATGGGTACTAGACAGTTTTAGCTGCAGAGTGGAAAGCAACATTTTATTTTGTTTATCAGAAATACAAGTGTCACTGTAAGAGAGTGATTCCCAGGAATTATTTGCTTAGTTAGGAGTTATTGTATATTGAAGAGAAAACTTATGAGGTTTGTCTTATCTTAATATCTTCTCATGTGTTGTAGGATGGAAGAAAACCAGCAAATCCAGCTTTTTGGTGGGTCAATGACAAGGGAGAGGAGGTGAAGTGGAGCTTTCAGGAGCTGGGCTCTCTGTCCAGGAAGGCAGCCAATGTACTTTCTGAGGCCTGTGGTTTGCAGAGAGGAGACAGAGTTACAGCAATTCTGCCTCGTGTTCCTGAGTGGTGGCTCCTGAATGTGGCCTGCATGCGAGCAGGTGAGGGACTCACTGACGTCTTGGGTGCAGAGAGAAAGCAAATAGAGGGTGCAAGCCATGGATTAGATCAGGGAGAAGAAAATGCAAACGGGAATATTCTGCTGTGACCTCTACAACTGATCTGTTGAAGCAGGAGAATTGGCAGCACCCACACAGCAACCACAGGGCCAGACATGGTCCAGTCAAACTCATCCTCAGGTGAAGCCGGTGAGGGTTGAACAGCTGCAACCTAAGGCCAGACTTGACCACAAACATTGTAAGGCAGCTGAATTCATAATGGAAGAATGTATATGATTAGAATCATTAATAATTCAATATATCTATTTTGCTCTGCTTTTAAACTGCTAAACATCCAGGATGGATAAAATCAGCATCAACAGAGAGACGTAATCAAGTAGTTTTGGGAAATGCTGAGTTTTCTCAATTACTTCTTGCTTTTTTCCAGGAATTGTCTTTATTCCAGGAACATCCCAATTAACAGCCAAAGATATCTCATACCGACTCCAAGCTTCCAAGGCCAAGTGCATCATTACCAACGACACACTGGCACCTGCAGTGGAATCTGTCCTGCCTGGCAGCCAGTTCCTGAAAAGTAAACTCATTGTAGGCCAAGGGAGCAGGGATGGGTGGCTGAACCTCAAAGAACTCCTTGCGTGAGTATCCAGCTCTTTCACCATCACACCTGTGAGGTGAAGGGAGCTGTACCAGTCAGGTGGCATTGCTGAGTTGTGGAGGTAATTTTCAAAATACAAATGAGTTACATTTCTCTCTCAACTCACAGCATTGAGATTACACTGCATTAAGTAGAGATTCATGCCACCCAGGTTTTGGGAGCCACATTCAGATCCTTCACCTTCCTTTTGCTCCTCAGCCTTGTGATTCAGAGTGTGCTTTTGACAGGCAAAATGTGTTTTCTAATTTT